CATCTTGTTCTTTGTTGGACAGAGACGTGACCACATTTGGGTCAAAATGAAAATATCTCTCCAAAAGCATAGCCACCACGACGTTTAGTTGAAGTACGCAGCCACGCCTACCTCATCTCAGGGATTTCGAGTGTAGAAGCCATCGTAATTGCCAGAAAAGCGCGGAACATTACCTTTTTCACCTTTCCATCGGTTTCTTCGATTAGCACACCGAGCCTTCTTCCGTTTTGCGCTATAATTTTCCGGTGGACGGAATGGATTTCCATTATTACCATGTAGAATCCGATAGACAAGTGGAACACATATACCAAACAACTTAATGCATCAGTCTCACTTTTGACTATTTTAATCATATACATTACCAGGAAATATATTTTGCGTGATTCAAAAGGCTGAAAGTTTATTGCTTAGGGTACCAAAGGTCTCACATAAGTCTGTTATGCTTTCCGAAGACTCCAGTGTTCTACGGGTGCTTAGGCGTGTCAGGTGACCCGGTTTGGTCGGGTCTGCTGACTTGCCTTTTTAGCATAATCTGATCTAGATGATTTTTAGCTGAGTTTGGCGCGGCAGCAACCCGTTCTTTACCATCTGCGGCCTCTTACCAGCTTCCACAACTGGTGGAGAACGAGGTAGCGCCGCCCCAAACCCAGCTGAAAACCAACTAGGAGATTAGAATATGAAAAAAAGGCAAAAGCAGCTGCTACCAGGCCTAACATCTTATTTCGCCACTCTCTGCGATTTTGCAAATAGTGCTCCTTCCTCCGAAATCCGAAAACAAGGTGACTATAAGGTTACCAGAAAGTAAGCTGACCTTGGCAAGAAGATCTCCGTACACTCGTTCCATAATTCTAGAGTTTATCGTGCCGCTGAGATCCGTTAGGTGCTCTTTCTCAAAATATTCCTCTAAACTGAAATCCATACAACTCAATAGGCGTTTGTCCTGAAATCACGTTATCTAACATAACATCGACGAAGTAACCAGGAGGCTCTCCTCAGTAGGACACCTTACCCCGAAGAAGCTGTCCCCTCTGTTTGGGAGTTTATTTGATTCTTCCCTTATGTGCAATCGTACATGAGAGGACACTTCATCACGCATACGGTTAGCATCGTGAATCATCGACGGCGTCCAGTCGCAAACAAGGCACGTGATTATACTAAAAGCAAATTGAAAAACGAAATCGATTAAGAACAGCATGGAGGTTGAAGCATCCGGCGCTGATCAATCCTTCTCCAGTCTTTCATGAGCATTTCGCTTTCATTCAGGGTCCCAGTAGATTTTGAAGGCGACTTGAGCTATACCTAAAAGACCTACGGGCCCGAAAAAGCTGATGACTCTATCCTTTGAACTTACCGACGCGAGACGTATGGTAGCCTTACTTGGCCTGAGCATGGACTGATCGGGATTCTAGCGCCATCTTCTCCCAGGCCATTTCTTACGTTGAGGGAAGTATGGTTGCAAGAGGTAATGGGGAGGGAGTTCACTCTAAATAGGGGGTATCATTCTGGTAAAACCTGTAAGGCCTTGTGAAGCTGTAAAATGGTACAAGTCAGCTACCTCGGGGAAAGGGGAAGGGAAGGTTGTGTTTGCCTCTAAGAAAAAAAATGGTTTTTCAATAGCTGACTTTTCTTGATTTTTCCTGTTTCACGTGTACTGTCTACCTCTGCCCCTAAGGCTTTTTTGAGGAAAAACTATGTCGAAAAGGTAGGAAAGTGGGAAAATTAAGGAAGTTGGTAAAGATGCTGGGTAGGATGGGGAAGGGGGAGTAGTACTAGAAAATGGTATTTTGAGGGGAAAGGGTCGTAGTTTGCGAGAACTTTCCAGTGACATGACGAGCACTGTCCCTCCCCTCCCTCACGAGGCTGTGAGCAGCGCCGTTTGCCGCTACATCTGCTCCGCCCTAGCTCATCATAGCAAGCGGCAAAGAAAGCAGAGATACCTGACGCCTGCCATTTGCTTTCGAGGTGACGTTTCTTGACTCGCTTTCCCAGAACGCCTAATCCTTTCCGAATCCATTGAAATGTCGCCCCCATTGTCTGCATGATTCCCATTTGTGTTTTCCTGCTCCTGCAATCCTGTCGTGACAAGGCTCATTAATTCACACTAAAGACTTTTATGGAACCTGTGCGGTATTCGAATGTGACGGCTCTGTTGCTTGGGAGACGTTGGTCTCCATGTCCACTACTGCTGACGTCGGATTCCCACTGCTCGAGTTCTGAACACGAACCACTGAATGTAAGGGGAAAAGTAAACAGTCATATAAGCAAAAAATTCACCTCGTTATTTCCTGAGTCGTTTTCAGTAGTTTCATTCTGAAGACCTTCCTCACCATTTGGACAATTTGGAGAGTATTTGTGCTCCATTCCACTATCACCCGGTGAACTCGACCCGCTTCTCTCTTCACCATCACTCTATAAAGCTGAAGGGAACCTGGGGTACTACAGTGGCACAGAAGCAGAA